GAGAGAGAGAGAGAGAGAGAGAGAGAGAGAGAGAGAGAGAGAGAGAGCTTTGATTGTAAGGCAGGAAATAGTCAGCATCACCTAACACCATCCCTTTGTATATGTGCAGCATTGGCTGTAGGAAATGAGGTACCTAACATGATGTGATAACTAGCCATGATTGTGTCTTTGAATCTTTGCTCTAGGGTAGGTAATGCTGAGGAAGACATGATACTCTAGTCATCTATTGGGTCATTTGACTATAGGGGGATATATCTAACAGGTTCTGAAATTTGTGTAGATTTGGCTTTTCCTATACGGGAGGGTCTGTGCAGCAGGACCTAATAGTGAGGGGCTTTGGCTGTAGGATAGGTTTCAAGATCTACTAGGTGTCACATCAGCATATCTAAAGCATTGCCCTTCATACACACAAAATTAGGTTTCAGATCCTGATGGACTTCTTACTCTTTTATACCCTTATCTCTCCACACAGGGCTAGGTGTTAGGGGTAGCAATGTAGTCGCACCCTTACAGCCAAGGCCATATACACAAACATGACTGCTTGTCAGGTCCTGCTAGGAATCCCCTCTTCTGAAGCAATGCCACACACCCAGAGGTAGGTACCAGGTCCTACTAGGTACCCTTCCCCTAAATCCAAAGCTCTATCTATTCAAAAGATAGGGGAAAACTAGTGGGACCTCACAGCCTGGTGAGGGTTCTTAAGGGCCTACTTGCATAATTGTTGCATATGTGCATGTGTGTATGCATGCATTTGTGTGTTTGTGTGTTTGTATGTGTGGATCTGGTGTTTTGCTGTATGGGATGTGGTGCAAAGCAGTTCCTAAAACCTAACCATGTTTGTGTATATGGAACTTTAGTTGAAATGGTAGAGATAAACACCAGAACCTGACACTTGTATGAATAAAGAAGCTGTGTTGGGGGTGTTTGCCTATAGGTGAGGGAGTTCCTAGCAGGAAATGACACTCAGCCCTGGGGCCCTGGGTGGGGGACTTTACTGTATGTCAGTGGATCTCTAGAAGGACGTGATACCTATCCTTGAGGAATATTGGCTGTAGGGATGAGAGGACCTAACAGAAGCTGACACTGTTCGGTGTTTGGAAGGGTTTGGCTCTAAGGAAATTGGAAATCTAACAGGACCTGCTACCTATCTATCTCTCTCTCTCTCTCTCTCTCTCTCTCTCTCTCTCTCTCTCTCT